TAAATGACTGCTAAAGGGGTTGGCATGCACATTCTGTATGTTGCAGTTCCAGGTGCTACAGTTCTTCTTGCTTGAATTCCTTATTTATTCCTGTTTCCTAATCTTTTGCATTTGCATGTCATCTGCCAATTTTTTTGAATCCTTTATCAGTGTGAAAAATATATCCTTCCTCTCTGTGTGGCTTCTTTAATGTAGAAAAATCTCCTGGTTCATCTCATTTTCATCTTCTGATTGTAGTAAGATGACAGCTTTAAAGGACACTATCAACTTGAAAGTCACACTTGTGTCTGAAAATGAACTACCTACTCTAGTTACAGATAACCTTGGATAGCTATACTGGAAAGAAATTGATGAGAACAATCTCTTTTTTTTTTTTTTTTTTTTGTACAGGTAACACTGTGTATAATCAATTTCATTGTCCCTAGTGAGCATCTGTATACCATTATGCATCCATGCTATGTGCTGTGTTGGTATAATTTCATTAAAAAAATCATATCCCTAACCAAAATGTCTATAACTGTACAAGAATTGCGTATACGTCTGACCTTAGATTTTGCAGGAGCTGCCATATAAGTAATAGTATTATGTAATTAATCCTTTCCCTCTAGTGTGACATAAAAAATGTTACTTACCCAAGGTGAAGAGAACTTTTTTGACAAGTTAATAAACTTCCATTAGTCTCCATCTGGACAGGCAAATAGATTTTGTGCTTTAGCTGGTAAACTTTCGTGGCAAGTTTTCACAGCTGTATGGCAGTGTCAGGCTAGAAGAAGTCTTGTGGGTGGGGCAAACGTGACTTAAGTGCTCTGATTTTATAGAAACCTTTTAACAATCATGCTGTTTCCACAGTCACTTGTTCAGAATAGCTTTTATAATACAAAGAAATAAATACACTTCGTTTAAAAACAAAACAGATTCTTCTCTGACAGTAAAATTCTCTTACATCATCGCCACCTTTGGATTTTTTAAAGGCAACCTATAATGGAAAAAAATCAGTGCCCTTTTTCCTTGTTTGACTAATGAAGAAAATTCAAGGGTTTCTGCTTGTTTTTTTAATTTTAGAAATACCAGGCCTTGACTTTCCTGTGTTTGCTGGAGAAGTATTGTGTTCATGGGATACTGGAAGCTGAACAATTGTCGAGAAGAGCCTCTTAGTCAGAATGCTTAAAACTATTTTGTTTAACTCAAACATCTGACATACTTAAGAGGAAAGTTTTGTGAAAGAGTCAACATCCTTTTCAGTGGAGGGCTGGGAAAGCACTCTCAGTCATCTAGAGTACTTCAGCAAAAACAAGGAACACACAGATTTCTAAAATAAAAAGTAAGCGAGAACCTGTCTCGGGGTATGTGCCTTTTTACATAAACAAAGGGCAAAACCAAATGACGCCTACCACCACTAGCACCCCCCAATAAGTCAGTCTTGTTATTCAGTGAGTTCTGTTTGTTTTCCAGAGAAAATTGCTTAAGATTACAAAGCCACAGATGCAGCTGTCTGGCATGTGTCTCGGTAGAACTTTCTCTATCCAGTGAACCTGTTGCCAGGGAGGGAAAGAGGATAGTTTGCTTTATGGACATCTATATTACTGGTAAGAAGTGGAGGTTATTCTGGGGTTAGCCACTGGAGCTTAAACTGTAAACAGGTTGAGGCACTTACACAGATCTCTCCATAGATGTTAACTTGGCCTACTGAGTTTGTGGATTCTGTTCATTGCTAGCTTGGCTAAAAATGGCTCGATGTTCTTAACTGCTTCTGAGTAAATATAGCAGTTGACAGTTGTAGTGAATTAATGCACATGTTGAATCAACCTAAAATTTGATGTTCTTCCTATGCTAAACAGGAACCTGTACTTTTTAATGGAAGTCTTTAGTGCTATGGTAGGGGAGTGGGATTTCTGTGAAGGGAGTAGAGCAGGGGTCTCAAACACGCGGCCCGTGGGGTTGTTTTCTGCAGCCCGCGAGCTCCTCGCAGCCCCCCCCAGCATTTACCTAGAGCGGCTCCAGTCCGACGCGCACCGGGGGAAGGGCAGGCTCCCTGCCTGCCCTGCCCCCTGCCGCTCCGGGAAGCGGCCGGAACGTGGGGAAGGGGGGGCACAGGGCTCTGTGGGTTGCTCTTGCTTCAGGCAGCGCCGCCAGCAGTTCCCCGTTCCCGGCCAATGGGAGCTGCTGGGGGTGGTGCCTGAAGCAACAGCAAGACACAGACCCCTGTGCCCCTCCTCCCCCAGGTTCCGGCCACTTCCCGGAGCGGTGCGGGGACAGGCAGGCAGGTGGCCTGCCTCGCCCCCGGTGCGTGTCAGGCCGGAGCCCGCCCCCCGAGCCCCTCCTGCAGCCCGAGCCCCTGCTGTACCCCGCACCCCTCCTGCAGCCCAACCCCCTCCTGCACCCCACACCCCAACTCCCTGCCTTGAGCCCCACACCCCTCCTGCCCTCCCTGGGGGCAGGAAGGGGGCAGAGTTGGGGTGGGGATTTCAGGGAAGGGGTTGGAATGGGGGCAGGGCCTCAAGGAAGGGGTAGAGTGGGGGCGGGGTCAAGAGTGGTGGGGGAGGTGTCAGTAATGCGGCCCTCGGCCAATGTACTAGTCCTCATGTGGCCCTCGTGGTCATTTGAGTTTGAGACCCCTGGAGTAGAGGATCCAACACACAGCACGCACAGAGACTTTAAGAAAGTTCAAACTTTCTGCAGATTGACCTTGTCTGGTAGAGCTTGACAAAGTCTCTGATCCCAGGTGAATAATTTGTCTATCCAGACAGAAAGAACTTGCCTAGACAAGTAGCTTTGCAACCGCTCTCTAAAATTCTGCCAGTTCTGTAAATCCTGTTACCTCTGTAATAGAATCATAGTTATTCGTAGCTTGTCTTGTATTTCCCACTAGTTGCAGATGGGAATTGGGGTACAATAGAATAATAGCCAACTTTATAATAGGGTATTCAAGGGTTAATATATTGTATATTTTCAAAGCACTTCTCGCCCCAAAGGTTACAACAACAGCTTACAAGATGTTGACACATTTGTTGTGGAAAGCAACAACCACCTCAGCAACTAGTGTACTACACAACAGTATGCAAGGATGAAAATGGGTTGACTCAGAAAAGCAGGACAAAGCCCTCTTCTCTTAAAATGCCTTGGGATCCTTTGTGTCCACACAGACCAGACTGGAATTCCTGTTTTGTTTTGGTTTTTTTTTTGTAAGTCTTATCTGAAAGCTCCCCTGCACTCACGTTCTGTTAAGTTTTTAATGTTGCGGCTGGAGCATGTTTAGACTAATCTGTAAATGAAGGGATTTTAAATTCAGAAACAGTGGAACCATAAATTTCATGACCTGATGGAAGAAAATAATTGTGAGAATATGGCAGTTTGGAGAGTGTTCCATGGAGTCTGATTGGTACAAGTGTACGTTCTGGGGGCTGGACTTCACCCACAAAGACCAGCACATACAAGTCCTATCACCAGTAATTATGGCACTTTGGGGTGCTTGTTCCAATGGGTTGCAATAGTTCTGTGAATTATCATTTCCAAGTGTCACATGAGGTGAATTTTTCTTCGTACAAGAGCACATGGTCTCATTCAATCTTGTCAGCTTGGAGGTGGTTTCAGTGCTACTTACAAATGGGAAGAGATTCCCAAAGGAGGTCAGACAGTCTAGAAGGGAACATTGTACTGGAATGAGCTACCACTAGCTTATTCAAATGAATAAGTAACTCCCCTGTGAGCAAGCCAGGTATGATCTGAGTTTGCCACTTCCCTGCAAAGAAAGCACTGTTTTACAGATTAGTTGATCTCTGTAACTCATCAGCACTGGTGATGTCAGCATGTCTTTTTGACAACTTGGGAATCCCTTGTCCCTATCAATTGATTATTTTCTGCTTCTATAAGGGCACAGAGAGTGGCTCAAAGGGGCAGTAGCTGTGGCTAATATGATTGTGTTGAGTACCAGTAGCGTGCTTAGAATTGTCCAAACATAAGATGTTCCTGTCTCATAGAGTTTGCAATGAAGTAGTTTGTTCAATGAATAAGTGTCAGGCCATTGATGATAGGGGCTTAATGCAAATCTTTTTTCAGGTCTGGAACTCTAGCTTCAAATCAGTCTGGTCACAGTGCAGGGGTGCAGTTGAAACTTTTGAGTTGGGGGTCACTGTACTTTCTCTTGCTGGAAACAGTGATAAAAATGAAGGGATGTCTGTTTGTGTGTGGGGCAGCAGGAGATAAAGGGGGAAATGAAATAGCAATCTGAAGTACTGTTTGAAGCTTTAAAATGTAAATACAGAGGATAACATTTTGTCTGCCATTTTGAATATCTTACATACAACATATGGAAAGCCCCACTTTAAATGCTCTTTATGTGACTCTTGCTGCGCATCAGCAGCTCAGTAATACTTCTTGACCCTTAACTTTTTCACTCTGTCCAGGCCAACTTTCCAGTTGAGCCATGTGGAGCCAGAAGCCTTTGATCAGATCAGAGATGAACACCCAAATTCCCCATATTGGTGGCTGCATTGCTTTCAAGGAGGCATGTAGTCACCAGCACAAGGAATTCTGAGGTACTTTTGTGATGGGAAGTCTTGGTGTTGCTCTGTGGGAAATAATTTCTACCCACAAACATAAGGGATAATGGGGAGGCAACCCAGATGAGGCTTAAATGATTTTTAAGGGGCCATATAATAAATGTACGCACACTACTGCATCATAGCTTGATTTTTCCTTAGAACTGTGTGAATGGGAGCTTCTGCCTAGTCTCCCGTGGATTTTTGCCTACTGCACAACTTGCCATTGTTGGCAGTCTGTTTGTAAGAGGGAGTAGCAGGTCAGCAGGATTTGGAGGTGCACTAAAAGTGCTGTGTGGGAAAGCTGGCACAATGCCTGTCTACCACCACCTGGCAGCATGCACTATTGCTATCATTCAATATCTTGAACACCCTACTTGGATAATTGTACAAAAGGAGGCATCTGAATGAATGTTTGTGACACTTGTGACTGGGTTTCAACCTGTTTTATTTTTTGTTTAGGGTCATCCAGTAGCCGCCACCCAAACCAGGTGACGCCAAAGAAGAGTGGCCTGAAGAACGGGCAGATGAAGAGTAAAGACGATGAGTGTTTTGGAGATGACATTGAGGAAATCCCAGACACAGATTTTGATTTTGAAGGGAACCTGGCGCTTTTTGATAAGGCAGCAGTGTTTGAAGAGATTGACACTTACGAGAGGAGGAGTGGCACTCGCTCCAGGGGTACCCCCAACGAGAGGCCAGCGCGCTACCGGCATGACGAGAACATCCTGGAATCAGAGCCCGTCGTCTACAGACGGATCGTCGTACCCCAAAATACTAACAAGGAATTCTGCACCGGTATGCTGGTCTGTTTACTTCTGAGGATGCTTATTCCATGGCTCCTCCAGGAGATAACTGGGAAGTGTTCCCACAGGGGGCATCTGTCACCTTAGTGCAATAAGCACGGTTATTCGTTTACAGAGGCTTGGATCCATGCACTTTACCACAGTATTTACAGTATAACCCTCTTTATCTGCCATGTTTCAGACATTAAAAGCAATAAGGTAAAAGGGGATAAGCTTACAATAGGGAACAAGGCCAGGATTTGGAGAAAAGGAGTTACAGTGGAACAGAGTTGTGTTGTGAACTATCAGACTAGGTTCACATGACTTGTGATAATTGGAACCAAGGCTTAGCTGTCAGTAGCATGGAGAGCCTGTGTGGATTGATCCCTGGCTCCCGAGAGGGTTTGTCTCAGGATTCAGTACATGTGACCATCTTGGCACTTTTGGTATCTTGCTTGTGATATGAGGCAGTACAGTTCATGAGCTTCTGATGTCCTGCCTGGATTTGAATAGCATCTGCCAGTAAAGCTGCTAACATGCTTTATTGTTAAAAATTTGAAATCTAGTCAATTTCAAATGATGAGTTGAAAGTAGTTTCAGGTACTATATGTATTCCTGAATGTCCATGTCCAAATGTTGTAGTTTTACAGTTATTCTCTTTTTTTTAACTACTTTCGCCTGTTGCTGTGTGAAAGGTCCAGACAAACAGGAAACTGCATGTAGTGCTGTTAGATGCACAAAACACATTCTGATAACTAGGGAGATACATCCCGCTGCCTCTCCCCGCCCCCCATTCCATTTAAAGTAATCTTGGCTGTTACAAGAATGTAAAACTTGATTTTTAAGTGGTGATGTTCCTTTAACTTGAAGTTTTCATCATATAAAATCCTGTTGACAAACGTATTAATTCCTTAAGTGGCCCAAACAGTGCATCTCAATACTACCTGCAGCACTCCTACACTTTCCAGTCCTGTGCAGAGGTTAATAGCACAGTTTAATGCAAAGCATAGTATAAGCAGTCATTGTGCAAGTTTTCCCCAACTGTGTGAATGCACCCCTGCAATTCCAGTACCAATACCTTCCTAGCAGATAGCAATCTGTCAGACTGAGGGGTTAGTGATGTATGGGTCATTGAGTTATATTTGATTGCAGTAGTCATGAAATCTAAATATAGAAAATGTTTGTGTTAGACCAGGGGTGGGCAAACTTAACAGGGGGTTGGGTAGGGGGTGGGGTCCTGGGGATGATTAGGGACGGGGTCTCTGGAGGGGGCGGTCAGGGAACAAGGAACGGAGAGGCCAAAGCAAGTTCGATATAACGCGGTCTCACCTATAACCAAGGACCGCGTTATATCGGGGGAGAGGTGTATTAAATAGTTTCTTTCCCTTTTAGAGTGTACACACTTCAAAAATGTGCGAACAGAGTCTTCTATACCCTTAATTGATGCTTAGCTAAATGATACATAGTTATAATGTCTTAATCTTATTACCTCCAACCTCCTAATCATTCTTGTAGTTCTTCCTCTAGTACATTGGTATTTTTCGGGTAATGTGATTACCAGAACTGAACACAATATTCAGAGCCACCTAGACTATTACTTTCCTGTTGTTTGCCATGCCTTTGGAGGTGTGGCCCAAAATTTCATTGGCCTATCTTTGTTTTGCTACCGTGTTCCCCTCCAGATAAACTCTGTCCCCCTGAGTCTGAGTATTTGTTTGTAGTACTTTCTGATTGCATGTAGGGTCAGTTGTTGGGGATGAAGAGATTACATGCAATAGCAGTGTTAGGTGAGAGGTGCCCTGGCCTAAATCACTTCTTGCTGCTGGGAATGAGTCTGCCAAATCTTTGCCTAATATAAACAAGTGGAGGATGGAGGGAATTTTCTCATTGCCTGATCAAACTGCTGACACATCAGCTAGCCCTCACCTCTAGCATGAAACCAGTTAATCACAGAACTCAGTTTCAATCAACAAACTTATGTAAAAAAAAAAAAGCCTGAAATGAATGTGCTGGACCTTAGCCAAGAAATTGGATCAGAGTTTATTTTGGAGCTGTAATCTAATGTGAAAGTTAAGCAGCGAGTGTGTATAAGAGACATATAATCTAACGGCCTGAATTTGAAATTGACAAAGATTGGATAAACAGTTATTCTAACATACAGAGCGCCTAGTACAGGAGGTCATTGTTTCTTGTTGTGCCCTTTATTTCCTTCCTTATTTCTACTAAGATGTGTACAAACAAGACTAGTATTTATATTTGTTCTGGTGACATCTTTTAGTTCAACTAATGAGGTAAATTTCCCTTATCTTCTCTAAGAATTGCATCTCTTAGAAGGCTATATCTTCATAACCTAATACTCGAGGGAGAAGGGGGGGAGGGGTAAAAGAGAGCAAAGCCAGAGTATGGAAATGAAATCATCTTCTCAACTTGGCACTCTCCTACCTTGTCAAGTGGTTAGTATATTAAACTAAGTAATAACTGAAAAGGGATCAGAGCAGTAAATTAGTAAACACTGCTCTTTTTGTTGCAGTGTGTGGGGCAGGGGAGAGGCTAAGTGATTCCTGTCTGTATAGTTTCCATAACGTCTTAAAGTCTAGGATGGAAAGGACTCTATAAATCTAAGGGATGGATCATTCTGCAGGGTCAGCTAACTTTCTGATGAGTCTCCCATATGGAATTCTACATTTGTTTGCAAAAAAAGCTGTCACTATACAGTAGGAAAGCAGTCAGCCATTGAGTTCCCTGTTTGTGCTTACTAGGGCACATCTACAGTCCCCTCTTATGTACCAGGTCTTCCCATCTTCCTTCATAAAGTAACTTCCTTTGTGTTAGGTGGGGAAGTTTCCTTCCATTAGGGAAATGCTAATAGCTGCATGGTGAAAGCTCTTATAAACACTTGTGTGTTTGGCTATTGCTAACTCTGGGGAGCATTGGCATAAACTTGATTCTGGAGTTAGCAGGTCAACCCTCTTGATCTTGCTGCAAGAATGGTGGATTCAGTATCTTTGGCCTCTTCCCCTCTCTCTCGGCACAGATACAGAGTCTTTGTGGGTAATAACTGATTATCTATTTAAACGGTCGTGATTTCCTTTTGTTTAACTTGGTAACTTCCTTCTAACGATTAAAGGGTAGCAGCTGCTGGAGTAACAGGAAGGGAGGGAAGGTTCAGAGTGACAGGCCCCTCATTAGTGTCAATGGTACTGAAATCTATTATTTCTGGATATCTGTAACAAAGAGGAACCCGAGTCATCATCGTTTTCTCTCAAAAAGGCTCTATCTAAACTCATCAGTGAATCTCTAGTTGGGAAAGCAAACTTTCTAGTTATACAGGAAACAGCTACTTTTTAGTCATTTCTTTAATCTAGTCCTGTCTGTCTTGGATACTGATTGCTTTGTGAGAGCTCAGCATTGACTGACACAGTGATTGGTCTGTCTGATGAATGTAATAAGAACACAGTCACAGTTGCTGTGTTGATTGACAAGCAGTTAATGTCCATCTCTTGCCATGCCTGAAGGGGGAAAGCTCAGCCATTTGGGTGGGAATCCCTGCATGCTCCTGCATCTTACTCCAACACATGGCTCAGGGAATAACTTGGGAGTCTTTTGAAGTGGTATCATCACTGCAAAGATCAGGGGACTGGACAGCTGTGTGATGCCACTAATTCTTCAAAAGAAACTGTTGGTCTGTCAGTGCATTTTATTGCCCATTAAATAAGTTTATCTATATCAGGGGTAGGCAACCTATGACATGTGTGCCAAAGGCGGCACGCAAGCTGATTTTCAGTGGCACTCACACTGCCCGGGTCCTGGCCACCGTCTGGGGGGCTCTGCATTTTAATGAAGCTTCTTAAACATTTTAAAAACCTTATTTACTTTACATACAATAGTTTAGTTATATATTATAGACTTATAGAAAGAGACCTTCTAAAACATTAAAATGTATTACTGGCACGCGAAACCTTAAATCAGAGTGAATAAATGAAGACTCGGCACACCACTTCTGAAAGGTTGCCGACCCCTGATCTATATAATGGGGGTGGTTAAGCACTGGAATAAATTGCCTAGGGAAGTTGTGGAATCTCCATCATTGGAGATTTTTAAGAGCAGGTTAGACAAATACCTGTCAGAAATGGTCTGATAATACTTAGTCCTGCCATGAGGCAGGGGACTGGATTAGATGACCTCTCGAGGTCCCTTCCAGTCCTATGATTCTGTAATGAACACAAGGCTGGACAAATCCTAGTAGTCCACTGGGTTGCTTTGCTACAAATGGAAGTAATGTTTGGTAGCCCAACCGTTATTATAGTCAACTGTGTGTTTCAGATAAATAGTCTTAAGTAGACCCATGACTCCTAGATCTTTTATTGCCTTTGATTCAAAATCCAATACCCCGAAGGCTAGATGAAAGTGGCTGATGTTCCATTGTCAGTCCTGGTCTCTCTTCCACAGTTATGCTCACCTATCTTTTTTAAAAGGTTAATTCTATTAACCTGTCTCACTAAAGGAAAGGGGATGCTCTGAATCGAGCAACCTTCACCCAACAGAGAGGAGCTTTTGAGATTGTTAGGGCCCAGCTCTCCAAATGCTGTTCTCTTAGGGACTTGCAATATTTTATTCACTGGTTGTTCCCTGACCATTCATGTTCTGCTGCGTTTCTTCTTCATTTCTGCCCTCTTTGATTAGACAGCAGGTAAAATGAACAGATTGGGTTTTCTTCTTTGTCTCGTAAGTGACCATCTCTGTAGATTTTGGTTAAAGTGATTGTTTTGAAATGCAAAATATCCTGGCAGCTGTTTGCCTCTTGTATCTCGTAAACTGTTGAAGTGAGACCTAAAGGCAGTCAGATTGGCATCTGAGGTCAGAGGAGATGATGATGGACTTCCTGGGTTCTTCCACCTCCGCTCCCAAAACAAAGATGGTCAGTCTTGCAGAAAGAACACCAAGCATGGACATGGGTGTCATTTTGTGATTGTTAGCATGAAAATCTGATTAGTTCAATTCAAGGGGACTTTT